AAATGATCAGTGTTGTCCCCACATACTTTGATTACTATACGGTGCAAGAGAGAGGTCCGACACGCCCAACATAGGGCACCGCCATTTTGATGTCTTTACCACAGTATATGCTAAAGCAGTGGACGCCAACCTGTCGATCGCGAGCTACCGGTAGCTCGCGGAGGCAATTCTGGTAGCTCTCACAACGATTTTAATTTAAAAAATACAAACTGCAAAAATCAGAGAAGCTTCCGAAAATTCCACAAAAAAATCTAATTGTCATAATATTAAACATAAACAGCGGCAACGTTGCGGTGAGCGATCTGCCGCTGACGCCATCAAGCTAGAATCGGCTAGAACCGACCAGCGGGTTAGTGTTCGAGAACGATCAGGATTGCTTTGAACGGGATAAATACGCACGGCGCGGCGACATTGCGCTTAGTTTAAAACTGAACGCGTAACCAACGTCCAGCGGTTGGGTTAGTAGAGAACAACAAAAAATAATATTATGGCAATCAGTTGTAAGAAGGTAAAGACCAGAGATAACAGAGATATAAGAAGTCATTCATAAAATATAATATTCATGATGCCAAGAACAGTTCGCACTCAAAACATTCTATTTCTAGACGCGGGGCGAGGCGACGAAAGGTGAGAAGTAAAAGAAGGGATACAGTGAAGAATTTTACATAGTTTTATCAATGAATAACTGCCCGAGCTTTTACTACTTAACGTAACTTTTCTTGCCGGTGTAAGCCCTGTTGCCACTTCCATTCTAACATCACTAGGTTTTGGAATTTGTTGAAAATTATTACATCTAATTTAATGAAATTACATCTAATTTGGTTAAAAATGCCTATTTTTTGTTCTAATGCTCAATTAAGTCTTTGTAGGAAGTATTTTTTTATAATTATTTGAAAAAAATCATTTACATTAGCCCTTATGATCGAAAAAAAATTTAAATGTCTCAGTTTCAACCGTCTACAAATTTGTATAAAAAATCTTCTTTTAGAAATATACCTCTCATTTGACGAAAAACGAAGGCCTAAATGAAAAAAAAACTATTCTTTATAAAAGTTTCGCCTATGTATTGACAAGGTAAAAGTACTTTCCTCATATTTGTTGCTTTTAAATTAACAAAAATATAGCAATAAACCATTAGTGATGTCATGGTTTTACTAGAAAGCAAACATTAAAGGCAGAGCCTATCGACTCTTTATGCATCTATCTCAGTATTGAAATGTTTGACCCCTTTTATATTATTTTATACAGGGATTATTGATTTATCCACCATGTTTAATAGGGTGTACTAATAATTACTTCAAGATTTCTTTTTTATTTTTAATGTAAAATGAAAATAAGAAAATATAAACTATTTATTAAAGGTATTTATTGAAGTATCAATTATAAACAGTAAGGCTATTGCTTTGCAAAATACAATAAATCCCCAATATAAATAAATTATAATAATAATAATTGGAAGGAAGTATATAAAGCATAAATTAATAATATTAAAATTTATAATTACAAGACTTTCAAACTAATCAGAATCAGATTCACCACACGAATCAACATTTTCCAAAACATTAGCGGCTGTGGTCAAACTATTTATGCAGTTTTTCTGTGTCATACTGGTGCAGGAACCGATACAGTAAATATTTTTTTTCCTGCATTTGCAAATTTTGCTTCCACAGTCTAGAACAGAATATTATTGTTAGAATATTGTTTAGTATGTTTTTTGCATTTGCATGATGTAAGTTCTGTTATGTCTGGTGGCAGGTCGGGCAGAGTCTTAAAAGTGGGTATCAGACTTCCATCTTGATCTACTTTCCATCCATACTCTTCAACATTAGGAAGCTGCATCTGGGTTTAAAGAGGTTAGCCAAATATTAAGCTGGTAAAAACATCTTAAACAATGTAGTCTTAGGGCGTCTTCAGTCGGTGGTAATTTAGCGATGGTTTTTGAAGAGGTCAATAATCCCCTCAAAATGTTAATGAAAGTAACATTGGCAGTTTTGAATACATTTTTAGGAAAATTCTTTCAAGATTAGAGAATATGTTTTCAGAGTACTGATCAGTGCCAAATCCATCCAAAAAGTAATGGTTTTCAAGGTAAGTTTTCCAACAGGTTTTGTTCCCAATGCCGGACAATTAAATGGTTGTATCACAACCGGTCAGAATGAAAAGCAGGCATATTTTTTAGAAGGTTTTCATCCAAATTTAAATAATGTACTGCTAGAAATCGCCTTGAGTCTCCTCGCCTTGTTCTGAACCATATATCTTTAGTCAAAAAAAATCGTCTTTTGATGGTTCAAAATTCTTTCCATATTTATTGATTTTCGCGAATCCACCACTAGTTAGAAATTGAATATGCTTTTGCTGAATGGAGTTTTGAAGAAGTTGCTCTGGCAGAAAATGTGTTAAACGTCTTTTGTTAAATATCTAATGAATAAACAAGTTCTATTGTTGCGGAAGTGGAATATTGGGTCGGTCAATTTCTATATCAATATATTTCTGAAATCCTCTCTTTTGACGTGTTGTATTTTTGATAGAATGTCCTTTATAATGATCAAATACCACATCTATCATTTGAGCATTAAATTTATTTCTAAAAATAATGTTTACAAATATATGAGCATATTCTTTAAATGATATGCAACTTTTGGACTTTCCTATTTTGATATAATTTTTGTCTCTGCTACTTGCAGCAACAACTCCGTAATTAAAATTTTAAACGAAAACTTATAACTTACCCAAATATATTTAGCTGCAACAGCATGAATGTAGATATAATAAAGATGCAAAAATGTCTATATTTTTTCCCAATATATTAGGTAATTTAATATATAACAAATACACTTATTAATTCTTTAGTAAAAACAGATAACAATGACACATTGCCCTATGGAACATAACAAGCAGTTTTATAATAAAAAAAATGAAAAATCCTACCATATCAATAATGTGATACATCAGCCCGCACGTAGAGAGAAACAGAGCTATGCTACGTTTGAAGGTGAAGAGAAAGATACACTGAGAGTCGATAAATTTGACGGTGAGAATTAATTACAGCATAAACCTATGACATCTCTCATCGTTTATTGTTATATCTTTGTTAATTCAAAAGCAAAAAATATAGTGTTTGCTTTGTTACCTTCTCAACACATAAGCAAAAATTTTATAAAGAATGTTTTATTTTCATTTAGGCCTTCGTTTTTTGTTAAATGAGTGGTATATTTAAAAAAGACGACTTTTTAACTAAATTTTTGAAGGGCTAAAACCAAGATATTTACGTTTATATTTTTTTTCGGCCGTAAGTGCTAATGCAAATGATTTTTTTTAAATAAGTATAAACAATTACTCCCTACAAAGATTTTATTGTGCATTTGACCAAAAAATTAGTATTTTTTTTTCTATTCGGTGGTATCAATATCTGGATTTTTGATGATAGTGCCCTTCTGCACAATCTAATTTTGTATTAACTCTGGAAAAAGGGTTACCTTATCATGACCTTTCATCTGTGAAAAATTCAGCTATGTGACAAAAGAGTGGGAGGTGAATCGTTTTCTTGAGCGAATATTTTAATACATACACTTTACTAACAATGACAACAGCGGATATTATACCCACAATATATTGTGATTATACCCTACTGTGTCCCTTAGAATATGTCTTATTCACGGCCGCACGATATTTGTTAATAGTTACATCTCCTGGTTATCTCTGGTAAAGACATACCACTTTCATTCGGAATGGGAAGAACAATACTTTTTTACAGAAGTTAAAGATAAAAATGTGTGTTTGTTATGTAATACTTCGGTCTCCGTTGCTAAAAAAAGGAAATATTGAGAGACATCATAAAACTGTACATTCTAATTTTGAAAAATCATTCCCACCACATTCTGCCGCCAGAAAGGAGAAACTGAAACAGTTAAAAAAGCAGTTAATTGGACAAAAATCAATATTTTTAAGAACAGTCGACAAAAATAAGGCTGCAACTGAAGTATCGTACCGTGTGTCCCAGATAATTGCACAAAAAAAGAAACCTTATGAAGACGCGGAAATGATAAAACAGGCGTTTTTAGAAGCTGCTGATTCGTTATTTGCCAACTTTAGAAATAAAGACGAGATTGTTTCAGCTATAAAATCTATGCAACTTTCTGCTAATACAGTGATGAGACGTGTAGAAGTAATGAGCAATGATATTTTTTTTACAGTTAAGAACTGACTTAGATAACTGTGTTTATTTTTCACTTTATCTGGATGAATCAACAGATGTCGTTGACACTGCCCAGATGGCCGTGTTCGTCAGGATGGTTTTTAGTGATTTTACGATTAAAGAAGATCTTTTGAAGTTTATTCCACTGAAAGGACACACTACTGGACAGGAGTTGTTTTCTCATTTAAAAAATATTATTTCTTCCGAGAAAATTCCAATATCGAAAATGGTAGGCTTGACAACCGATGGCGCTCCAGCTATGGTTGGTTGTGATAAGGGTCTGGTGGCGTTATGTCGTAAAGATGAACCTTTTCCGCAATTTCTCTGTTACCACTGCATTATCCATCAGCATGCATTATGTGGAAATTTCCTGAAACTAAACGTTATGAAACTGGTGGTAAAAATTGTGAACAAGATTAGAGCTCAAGCGTTACAAAGAAGATTATTCAAAACTTTGGCCGATGAACTGTCAATACGGGGACCTACTCCTTCACTCTGAAGTCCGATGGTTAAGTAGAGGACGGGTGCTGAAACGTTTTAATGATGTCCTATCTGGCATAGTTCAATTTTTCAAACAACGCGATGAACCGACTCTGGAACTAGAAAATTCAATCTGGCTTAAAGATTTTGGTTTTCTCGTGGACATTACAGAGAAATTAAACGAACTTAATTTGCAGCTTCAGGGGAGAGACAAAGAACTAGCGGAAATGATTTCTGATATAAAAGCATTTATAAAAAAAAAGCATTTTCCTATTCTTTCAGAAAAAATATCTCAAAATCCATTAGAAACTTATGACAGCAAATATCATGTAGAAATAGTTTCTACCCTGAATAATAACTTCAAAAATCGTTTTAAGGATTTCAACGAAATGGCTTTAGTAGCACAGTTTGTTGTTTCACCCTTTATGGAAATTGATATCCAACAGTTTGCAACTTGTGGTATGCAGAACTTTGGTGAAGACATCGCTGCAACAGAAATGGAAGTAATTGAGTCTCAAGTACCAAATGTATCTGGCTTATTGTAAGTAAAGTGAAAGTGAAAGCATTATTCAGTTCAACCTATTTGTGTGAATCTTCTTTTTCCAATATGAAGTTTATTAAGAACAAATATCGCAATCGACTTACAGATGAACATTTGGATAATTGTATTCGAATGGCTGTATCAAATTATACTGCAAACATTAAAAAAATTATCGATGAGTCTGAGTGTCAGCCTTCTCTTTGAATGTGCTTTTTTATTTTTCAATGTTTATGTTCATGATAGTGCATTACTTTTTTGTTGTTATTATTAACTATTTTTAAATCTTACGTGACATGCCGTTGTGGCTGGATAAAAGTTTGTGTTTATTTTTCAAACACCTTCGTTTGGTAGGTAGGAATGTAGCTATGAACAAGTACGTACTAGTAATATTAGTTATTTTGTTATTAGTTTATTATTAGTACATATGTATTATGTATTACCAGTTAAATAGTAAAATAAATACATATAATGATAAATTAACTGTGGATTATTTCATTTACGTTGCGTTACGTGGCTTCCGTGTGGGTAGCTCGCTGTTTATTCCAAAATTAACAAAGTAGCTCAACACATTGAGAGGTTGGCGACCACTGTGCTAAAAAATCAATTCGCTCACTCTGCGTCGGCACTTTTAATCTCAATGTTCCAGTTTATACACTGCGCAACTCGGATAATACAATATATGACAACCGCTTATAATAAAACAGCAGTCTTCTGCGTATCCTGAATTTGTATCCCTGGAGTGGATGTTATTTTGGAACTTTCAACTGGTCCGAGTGAGCTAACTGATTCTTTAGCAATAAACTGTGACTCCAAAATAATATTCTGTGACACTGACAGCAGCAATTTTGCGCCAAGCTGTAGGCAACACGTAATAAGGCATCAAAATAGCGGAGTTTTCCATCTCCTTTTAAAAGGCACTCAGAAAGCTGCACAGTGCGACCATTCTCCGTATAGTAAGAGAAAATCAAAGTATGTGGTTGTTCCCGATACGCGAGTATTCGGAACTAACACAAGAGCTGTCACTAAACTGTCACTGAACATTTTTTAAAAAGGTACATGTCCGTATTTCAGTGACCTAAAACTGAACAGTTTTCCTTTTTCAAATCATCCTTTTCATACAATATGACCAGGCTATACAGCAGGTTTCCGAGACATCTTGATAAAACAAGCTATTTACTAATGAACTAACATTCTAGATTTCTGCTTCTTATTTACTTTTATCTATAATATTATCTGTGTGTAATTAACATGGAATTACTTGAACTTAGCTTTTTCTCATTTACCTTATTATTTTTTAATTAGTTAAAAAGGTTGATGGGAAGAGAGGACTTATCCTTGCTTGCAAGGACTAGACCTAAATATTTTATTAGTTTCCTTTGTAATCTGTTTTTTACCAATTTCAATTCTTTTATTATTAATATTATTATGTTTCTATGTCCAACTAAAGACATTTATCTTGTAACGGATAATCTATAGTTAAAAAAATGAATAGAAAAACTAAAGAAGCCTTTATATTTATTTATGTCATGCACCTTGGTTGGATTTATATCCCAGAGGTGTATTTATACGTATTTTTCAACAAATCCGCCTTAACTTGTATTTTGCGCGAAGAATAACGTTTTTCCAAAAAAGGATTCCGGCCAAGGTGAACTTACTTCGACTTCGCCAGTTATTTATGTACATATTTGTGAATACATATCGTGTTTTGATACCTATAATTTCACGAGTATTTTTGTATAAAAAGGTACATTTCTGCTAACGTTCGTGATGCATGCTTAAAAATAGATTAACCTTACTTGGGAGTAGGTTGTTATGAGTTTTTTGTCAGTTTTGTTTTGTTTTTTGATGGGATAATAACAATAAATATTAGTCATACTTGTTAATTTTGTTTAATTTAATAGAAAGATATCAAAGCTGAAGAGAAATCTGTTTGCAGGGTGTAATAAAAAAGATACCAGATAACTAGGAAACTGTCGAAACAATTTGTCATGAAAACATACATCCTGAAGTAGTGATGGGATTTTTTCATGAAAAGTAATTTTTGGACTAGTCCAACGGACATGTCCTGAAAAGTGGTGAAAAGTCACAATGAAAAGTAGTCGAGCTTGGGTATAGAAGACACCCAGTTAAATCTTCATCCTGGATGTTTTTTCAAAAACACATTGGGAACAATATTTGCATTTGTATTTTCGTTTTTTAGGCAAATCATTTGAAAAGTATTTCCAATCTTTGGATTTTTTTTGTTATTTTTACGTGTTTATAAAAAGAAAATTCAAAAACTTAGTTAAAACATATAAAAGTCAGTAATCATTTGTAGTTTCTTCATTTTTAAACTATATTGTGTGCCTCTTTTAAACTGTTTGCTCCAGATAGGACGTCATCTACATAAAAATCTTCTAGCAGAATCTTTGATGCTTCAGGATATTTTGATTTTTCATCCAAAGCCAATTGGTTTAACGTTCTTATGGCTAAAAATGGAGCTGCTGATGTTCCATATGTGACAGTCGTTAAGTCATATTCTTGGATTTTCTGAGATTTGCCGAATCTCCATAGAATTCGTTGGTAAGGAATACTGTCTTCGTTGATTTTTATCTGTCGATACATCTTTTCAATATCGGCTACAAATACAACTCGATGTTTTCTCCATCTTAAGAGTATTTGGGACATGTCTTGTTGTAGCTTTGGTCCAGAAAATATACACTCATTTAGGCTGATACCGTTTGAGGTTTTGCTGGATGCATCGAAAACTACTCTTAATTTAGTTGTCGTACTGCCTTCTCTGAGTACGGGTTGATGTGGTATGTAATACTTCCCCTGTTCGTATTTGTGTAATGGCACTTTCTTCATGTGCCCTAATTTTATGTATTCGTCCATGAACTGGTGGTATTGTGTTTTTAAGTGATTATCTTTTTCGAGTTTTTGTTCCAGTTGTAACAATCTCGCAGCTGCTCTTTTCTTGGAGTCTCCCAGTTCTGGGTTTGCAGTTTTAAATGGTATGGATACTGTATATGTTCCATCCGGGTTTCGTGTAGTAGTTTGGTGATAGAATTCTTCGCAGACCTGGTCGTCTGGGTTTAAGTATTGTGGCGGACTAATTTCTTCGATTTCCCAGAATTTGGTTAACATCTTATCTTCTTCGGTGCATGCTACCATGCTTGTTATCTTTATTGTTTCAGTTTTTTGGGCGGCAATGTGACCCGAAAGAATCCATCCAAATTCTGTATTTTGTCCAATGATACCATCGTTTGTTTTGTGAAGACCATCCAATATCAATTTACTATATTCTTCTGCTCCAAGTAATAAATCGATTGGACCTGTTTTATTGAATGTTGGATCCGCTAATAACCTATTCTGCAAGGTTGCTGTATCAACGTGTAGTAATGGGTTTTTTGGGATAGCTTGTGTCAACTTTGACATAACCATCAGTTGGACATTCATGGCAAAGTCACTGGAGAATCTAGGTTGCAGATGTGCTTGAATTCTCCATTTTGAAAGTTTAGGCTTTCCATCGGCTAGACCAGATATTTCTGCTTCGATTCTTCAGTAATAAAGGAGGCTTGAGATCCTTGATCTAGGAGTGCTCTTAATAGTACCATTGTGCCATCATTGGTTTTTACGTGTATCATTGAAGTTGGAAGCAAGACTTCATTTTCTTGTGTTCCTTTTTGTTGAGGTTTAGTAGTTGAGTTCGCTTGATACGAATTTCTATTTGAGGTTGAAGCGTTTAAGTTGCTTCTTGGGCCTGAGTTTGGATTTTGTTTTAATCGATCTCTGTTATCTAGGTGCAACATGGTATGATGCTGACGTTGACAGATGTTGCATTTGAATGAACTTTTGCATTTGAATTTGGATTCATGAGCCATACAGTTGTAGCATAATTGTTTACCTTTTATGGCATTGTTTCTATCTTTGACATCTAGTGACTTGAAAGCTTCACATTGATATATTGTGTGGTCTTTGTTACAATACCCACAAGTGTTATAACCATTATTTTTATAGCTTGTTTTTATTTCGGATTTTGGATACATAATCCTGGCTTTTGGCATCTCTTGATTTTTTGATGACTCTAGTGATTGAAATCTTCTTTCTAAGAATTCCATTACTGTGGCAAGGTCTGGAACTTCATGCGGCTTGGTTAAGTTTTGTTCAAAGAGTTTGCTTGTTGTAGGATCCCATTTCCTCATTATTATTCTGGTTACAATGGGTCCCCAAGACATTGTTTCAATACCTATATTTTTGATGGCATTAAGGCATTCCATGGTAACGTCATGAAGTTGTTTAAGTTTTTCAACTGACTCATCGTGGCAAACAGGCAAATCTAGTATTTTGTCTACTAATGTTGATACAAGCAATCTCTTATTTTCGTACCTTTTTTTCAATAGTTCCCATGCTGATAGGTAATTGTCTTCAGTTATTTCTAGATGTTCTATAATTTTGCTTGCTTCTCCTCGGATATTTGTTTTTAGATATTGCATTTTCTCAATGGTTGTTAAGAAGCTGCTTTGGTGAATAACTTTTTGGAAAATGTCATGAAAGGAGAACCATTTATCGTAACTTCCATCAAACAATGGTAATTTAATTTTTGGGAGTTGTATATTAGGTTTATTATTTTCTTGGATATTTTGACGGTCTTTATTCGCTATTTGTTCTTCCAATAATTTCATGGTGTTACTAACCTTTGGTTGGTTCATAGATCATGATATTTTCATGTAATTCCTGAATACTTTCCCATAATCTATCAATGTTTGTTATAAGCCAACTCCTGGATGTCAGTTTAGCTTCTGATATTTCTTGATCAGCTTGTTGGATGAGTCGATCTACTTGTTCCATTTTTATTAATTGCTTTTTTATTCTTATTTCTTGTTCTTTGCTTTCCTAATTACATTCTAGAGGCGTTAATTGGCTTTGACTCTCGTCTGTGGCTTTTGGACACATTTTTAAGTACTGCTTAGCTTCATCATATTTTAGTTTTAGTTAATAATTATGGTTTGGGATGTCTAAATCTTCTAGTAATTCATGATTTTATTGTACTGCTTGCCATAGTTCCTCTAGCTCACTAAGCCGATTTTCAGTGTATTCTTCCGTTTTTCTTGACCTGGAATCCTTTTTTGAATTTGTTAATAGCTGTATTATTTGTTTGCCCAATTTTTCTTGTTTCTGGGATAATTTGTTAGCTTCTTCCATTTTATTTAATTTTTTCTACCGTAGACTTTTCTTGACAACACTGTATTTTTTTTTGTATAATTTTTCTAAACTTTTACTCCAAGGACCATGAATAGATTTCAAAGATAATTGTTGTAATTAATACTACAAGATGATTTTCATGAATCTGTTTATTATCTCATTAACACCTATATTTATAATATCACAAACAATAACAATAAAAAATAACAATTACAATTATTTAATAATTTAAATACCCATTCAAAACATATTATTCCAATTTCGACCTCGTTCAATGTTTTGCAAATAGTTTTTATTTTGATTTACTCAGCATTTTTAATATTATAATTTACACATCGATCTAGATACGAAATTGGAACGCTATGAAATTAAACATTTTAAATAATTAATTTAATATACAGGATGTTGATTTTATTATGTTCAAATCTGACGTTTATTTACTTTTAAACAGTTTATTATTTAATTTATTTACACTATTTTTACTAATTTATGTTATTAATTAATTAAATTTACAACGCTAATTTATGTATTAAAAACTTATTTACTAATTTACTTTGACAACATATAACTTAACATAACAATATATCGACTTAAACTAAACTTATTACGACAAATTTGGGCACTCCAGTCCTGTTCTCGAGGATTCTCGGCGCACTTGTTCAGACCAGACCAAATATCGGTACTGATTCCGCTATTTTCTAGAAATACCAAGTCAGAGACTTGATGGGTACCTCGACAGTCATATGCGTATCAAATAGGTGCTTCAGAGGTGACTCGCTTCGTTGAATATTTTTGGTAATCGGATAAATGGAAGCCGTAAGAGGTCCAAATAAGGCAGAGAGGGCTTTATGGGATTTGAGCAGAACCGGAACGGTGAAAAATTAAAAATTAAATAGTATAGATTGGAGTTAATACAAAACGAGTTTGTCAGACTACTTAGAAGACAAAATGTGATGCCAGTATATTAAAGTGAGAAAATATATTTTTTTGCAGCTCCCTGGACGTTGAATTGGAAGCACTTGGGTGCAATTGGTATTCCAGGAAATCACATCTTAACCCTTTGGACTTTAGTTTTTAGGGTTTTATAAAAGAAGAAATGTAGAAGTGTAGGTACTCGGTGAAAATAATGAATGGCAGCCATTTTGAACATTTCTGAATACATATCAAAACAATTTAATTTTTTAAAATACAAATCATCTAAACAGGACCGTTTTAGACTAGGATGTGGCCATTGGATACATCTAGTTTGGGGGCCCTTTTAGATAACAAAAGAACTAGAATGAGAATATTTTATTATTTATAAGGGATTTATAAGAAACTAAGTTTTATGTCGGTTTTTCTAGTTTTATAAGCCGTGGGTGTTACAAGTTTTGTAAGGCACCCAATAAATACAAAAATACTTTAAATTTTATATTTGCATTTAAAACGTGTCGGTTACTTCTTCATCTATAAATTCGTTAGTATTGAATACTTAAAAGTTTCATAAGAAGGTTTTATAGCATTTTTGCAAACCTCAGTATACAGCTTTTACAAAACCCTTATAAATGTTAAAGCACCCAATAAATATTCCGTAGCTCCTTTAAAAGGATTATTATAAAACTTATAAACCCACTGATGCCTATAAATAAAAAATAAGTTATGTTGTTTACTTGTTTTCCAATAAATATTCTACAAAATGTCACCAACTAATAAATATTGGCAAACAATTAAATATAGTAGTAGCCAAATGCCCAATATGGCGATTTTAGTGAGTGTTTATTGGCGGCCATTTTGGTGGTTTTTATATTTGATATAAATATCACAATAAAAAAACTAAAATATGGCGTAATAAACAATATTACTGAAAATGGAGAGCTTTATTTTCGTGGCACACATAATTAAGAAGGTAGAGAAGTTTTATAATACAGTTTTTTAATGGTAACGAAAACGTTTTCGTTACCTTTCTAAAATCTATATTTGATTTATACAGGTAATAGCAACAACCTTTCAGTTATAAAACAGCTGGGGAGTAAAGTTTTATTTGGGACTAAAAATTGGTCCCGGTTTTCTTTAAAAGATTCTCCATTTAGATGCTATAGAGGATTTATAAGAATAGCGATTACTTTTCGCGAATAATTGATAGATTCTTAAGTCAAAGAAGTCAGCACTGTCAGCAGAGCACCTAGGGAATTTTTAGGTTATTTTAAGGCTATTTTTATACTCTGTTCAAAAATTTTATGCTTCTCGTTTTTTTGCAAAAATCAAAGTGCTCTGCTAGCTTCGAACGAAGTAAAAATTTCGTAGATGCTCTGTTGTCTTCTTTGGTATGTTGGGAAGACTACTTATCAGTTTGAAACTTTGCATTACATTACATTACTATTATTTTTTGTGTATAAACCTTTTAAGAATTATTTCGGGATGTGACAACACTGTAATTAACCGATGTTTGACACATGAGCATTTGTAAAATTTGAGATTTGTTGTAATAAACATAGTTAACAGAAGTTGGACAATTTCATTTTAAAGTAACGAAAATCGCCAAGAAAATATGGATAACATTTTCGAGCAATGATTCTGTTCCATTTTTGATTAAAGAAAAGTGAAAAGGCGAAGAAGCAGAGCATCAAGAACAAACTTTTTCGGTAGTAACAAGAATGTAAATTTGGCCGAAGCAGTATTAGAGATGAATTTCGTGAAGGTCGACCAACAACTTCAAAAACGGCATGAAAATATTCATGCTGTAAGAGAAATGATAAATGTTTTACATCATTTTGTAACATATATAGAAAAATTCAGTCTTTTTTAGGCATGAAACAGATTAATCAAATTCTGTATGATCATTTAGGTATATGAAAAATATGTTCTCGATTTATATCGCATAATTTAACTGAAGGTCAAAACAGACTAGAGTCAAATGGTGTAAAAAAACATGTTGACATCTTGTTTATCCACATGAAAAGGTGCATAGATTGTGAGGGGAATATTTTGAAAAACATTTTTTGAATTTGAGATATTTTCTTTGTTACTTTCTCGAAATTAGAGTAGTAACTATCGTACAAAAAATATTTTTAAAGAAAATAATACCTATTTGATTTTTTATTTTACTAAGTATTATCCATTAATAGGTTTGGATACTAATTAATAAATAATGTTTATACCTACTTTATTACTGTGTGAAGACGATCAAGTAGGCCTCAAATTAGTCACGACATTTTAATTCATTATAAATAAATATTTTTGTGGAATTTATTTCTAATTTACTATTGATCACATTTGAAAAATAAATAATCCTTCATTTTTATTATAATTCGCCTCTGGCGATTTATCATTTACTTATGACCGACCCTCCCACTGTCTGAAACAGATGCTAATCAATCAATATACCCGTACCATCAAAGTTTCTTTGATACGTCTACCTACATATCTTTAATAACCCTTTCATATCAAGATTCAGGTGTTCAAAAGGACCTTCTATTGTAAGTTGAATGTTAAAAGTTCTTGTATGTTCTTCTAGACTTGTAATGCGGGCTGCCGAGCTATTTCAGGGACGATAGAACTATTCGAGAGGGCTTGAAAAGAGCCCTTTGTCTCGGTCCAATCGAGTGCGTGATTCAATACGTTGAAATTGTAAAGAGATTGTCGATATCGTTTGATTTTATTTTTCTTTTACGTCTGTTTCAAGAAGTGAACTAACTATATGATGTCTAACGAAGAATTTGTTTGTCAGATGCAGCGTTGGATTTAGAAATTTCTTAAATAATAAATCTGGCTTTATTTATCATCACAAATACAATATTAAAAGTAAAAACAATACATTATAGAAATACAATTTAACATTATTTTATTTATAGTAAAATGATCTGGACTATTTTTTTACCTTTTTGGCCATAATTTGCCTTTTTTGTCTATTTTTAAATAAGAATCATCTGCTGACAAAAAATTAAAAATATAGCATACAATTTTGTTAAAAGTGACGAAACCAAACTGCCCATATTTTGCACACCCTCTGATTAAATTTACTTTCAGCAAATATTGTTAAATCTAAACCGTCTAAGATGACAGATCGCAGACAAATCTCGGGATTGCATCTCTAATGATTGCCGAAATATTAAGACTAAGTTTTTATACCATATCTCTTTTAACAAGGCCTTTTATAACCACGTTTACTTGAACTTTTTCAACTTTTTTTCCATAGAATTACCTCTAAAAATATATAACTGCTAACGTGAAACATCCTGTAGGTTCGTTAAATTGTTTGATTCATTTAAAAATTTTGAGCCGGTCCTGGTCAAACAGGTAACGTTATGCATATAATAATATTATGCGATCCTACACTTTGTTTCTTATCTGTGGTTTCACTTTTGATGTACCTATATAATAATTGACTTCTATTAAAGCCATACTTAAATATTTTTCTTTTATGATTCCAAATAAATTGTTAAAGAAACATTATACGCCGCAATTTATTAACAATAGAACCTTGTCACAAGGTAATATTCTA